GAAACCATACGTTTGAGTTCAAATTGCACCTTTGTAATTATAAGGAATATCTTACATGCATATTAAGTTGCAAGAAATCGAGCGTAGCACAGCCGACTTCTTAAGGGGCGAAATTCCCCCTCCCAGTCGTGAGACGGGCCTAATTTAACCCGGCTCTTTGGTGTTTTTAACACACGAAAGTAAATGTGCCTTTAGAACAACTGACGGGTGGGGTCAGGTTTTATTGCTTCCAGCCCCTACCAACTAGCAGTGTTATCTTAATCTCTTTTTTGCAAGGATAACATGTACTTAAGTGCACAGAATTACAAGGCATTTTTAAAGCCGATGTCATACAACTGTGAGTAGGTAATCCATCTGCTTGAAATAGAAACTCCGATAATTGAACATCATTGTAGTCTGGGAGAAAACCATTTGCAAACAGACAAAAGAAGAGATATTTCTGAACGATGTTTTTCTTCAATACCTCCTTCAACAGGAAAATACTTCGTAAAATAAAACACACCGATGGAAGTAAAACCGGCTTCCCAAGTAAGAAACTACGTGTGATTGTATTCACAGTAGATGATGCCTTTTGTTTTACTCAATACGCTGGGACACCTCGACTTCAATAAAGTCTACATGCATGTATTAGCGAAGCTCTCATTTTTAAAGGGGAAATTAGGTTTTACATTTCAACAGGGAATTTTTCTCTAGGTGTGAAGACTAGTCTCTTTTTAAGACTGGTTATATAAATCATTCACCCGTTGGAACGTACAGGGTGTCCACATAAAAAGTATACAGAGATAAAATCTACTATAATGGCAAAACTACTCTACATTGTGGAAAGAGAAATATATCTCTAGAAAGGGCAGAATGCCCTCCTTGCAATGGTATACAGCTTGTGATGTTATTGACACAGATGAGTGAATAAACTAGACCGATGTTAAGGGTACTGAAAGCAGCACTGTGACAAGTTTGCATATTTGATTAGCAAGGTTCAACCATGCAAGTGGGCAGAATACCAAATGTTATACCTCCCTATTTAGTATTTACTGCCGTCTCTCTCCTCTCCATTTGCTTATCCAAGAGACCTTCCCGAAAATGACCTGTCGAAAAAGCCTCCGGGGCTTACGTTTTCCACTGCAAATGAGCTTGCACGAAATTACCAGACTTCCTCTCAATTATGACCACTGTATGGGAGCAACGTCTTGTTTGAGGATACCATATGCGGATCCCCAAGGAATTACAGGCTATCCAACTGCAGCCTCTCATGGAGGTGATCACCCTGTGTTTCGTGGAGAAACAGTTTTCTCCCTAAAGCTAGCAACAACTAATTAGGAGACTTCCAGACGTCGCGTTGGATTCAAAGCTTAGATGTTTGCCGGTCCATTCTTTCCTCAAATGAGGAAGCTATATTTGCAAGAGCACGAAATATTTATGTAACTTGTCGACAATGCCGTTCAAACGATGATCATTCAGCACACTGATTCTACCGCGTGTTAGAGTTATTTTCGTTTTATAAGTCCTGTTGTAAATACAATGTATATATGTTAAAAACCACATTCTTTAATGCTTTCAAAGCAATGTCCTACAGACAAAAACAAGAAAACCAAAAACAAAGAATAACAGACTAGAAGACAAAGTCATTAAATTTCGAAGCAATTAAGCCCACTGGGAACATCCTGTCCTCAGTGATTATGCCTGGATTCAAAGGGTGGTGGCTGCAGTGTGCTTCATTAAGCCAATTCTACAAGAATTAAAGCACCATGCGGGGATCGCAGCGTGAAAGACGGAGGAAAATGAGCTAAAGACTGAGGCCAATGAGAAAATCACCGTGCTTTTATTATTATTATTTCAATGACACAACTGTCTAGGGATAGAGCGTGTACTTTCATGCGGGAAAATAGTTCTTGAGAGGAGACTATTCTTCATGTTTTGTGAAGCTTCCCCTGTTGAAATGTTGGACTTCACTTTCTTTTAAAAAAAAACTCCCACAGCCACGAATGCAACGTTTATTCGAGTCGGATTTCCCCAGTGTGTTGTGTACACAAATATCGCATACCAGAAGGTTCATAGAATATCGTGAGATTGAAACAGCTAGTGGATGAAGCGGCGTAGCCCCAATTAAATGATCCAGCAGCTTACGTCTTCGTGCAGCATAAGACGCAAGACCTCACTTCTCAAGCGGACTCAAAATATTTGATCGAAGGCGAGGTTGAACTTGCAATGCGAAAATGCCTCGCGTTACATCCAGGTTCATAAACATTGCGCGTGGTCAACGCTGCCGAAGCCCTCTTTCGATATTGTATGCCGTGCGAAATGCGAGAACAAGAGGGACGAGAGACAAGAGTTTTCGGCCCCACACTTGAGGCAATTCCCCAAGAAATATTTGCTCCAGCAACAATCTGCTGGGACTACCAGGTGAGGCCCACTGCCCTCGACAGAATTCGAACCTAGCCGCCCGAGCCGGGAGGCAAGAAAAGTCTGCATACTGCACAGTGGCGATTACACATTCGCTATAGATAGAAACTTTACCATCAGCGCCGAAACTAAATTTGCGACATATTCACCAATCTGTCTTAGCTATGTGACTCTCAGACAGAACACTGCCTCTTACTGAGGAACACGAAATACTCAATCATCTTTTCCATGTAACTGCACAGCAACGCTGTTCTCTGATTGTATCCTGTCATAAAAACACTATCCTTCTCCGCCAAATGATCTTTAGCTCTCAGTGTGTCCCCAGTATATAATGGAAATCGATTTGGAAACAGTCAACGCAGGCAGCTCTCCTGCTCAGTGTGCTTTCCTCTAAGCTTTGAATCCCCCCTCGTTTAAGCCTGTAACCACACCCTCGAGGGGGTTACTGCAGCAAAGATACGAAAGCCCTTCATCAGAACACAGTAGGCCTATTTCTTGAAGGGGGCGCACTCCGGCTCATTAACACAGTCAGTGTGAAATTAACAAGAGATGGCACTGCTGTTTGATTGTTAAAGGCTCTGTAAGACTCTAACAGCGCAGAGTGTTCGTAATCCAGGTCTTGACATCAACACTCACAAACCCTTCGGCTGATGCGTTAGATGTGTATCTCTTAGTCGTTTTCTTTTACATGTAACCTTGTCTTCATTTTCCCCGCGGCATCGGTTTCTCGCCTTCATTCTGCAGGATGTTTTTTTTTTTTTACCTTTTGGAGCAAAGTTGAAACATCATATCGGTTTGATGGATTGCATGCAGCCTTGAATATTTTTCGCAATGCATGAAACGTCAGGTAAACGACAATGTACATGTATAACCTTGCGAAGATTTACCTTCCTAGAGTCGATGTGTTCTAGTTCAGTCGGGCCAAATGCAGTTCTTGTCAGCATAGGGATAACACTTTATAAATTTTTATAAATGCAGATTATACCTTTTGAGTTTATTTCTTTAAAATTTATAAATTGCTTAATTTTTCACCTTGTTCTATCTTATACAATACAATAATCTTACTATTCAGAACTCTTCATTTGCCTACGAGTACATGGATTTGGGCTTGTTGTCATTTATTTTAGATTTTCGGATGTGAGAGGTCAGTTTTTGGCACGATATTCCTCTTTTGAGTCGAGGAAAACTTCAGTTAATATAAGCTAATATGCTAGTCAGTATGTTACAAAGGCCTTTTTGGACGGGTAACCTTTAAAGAAGAGAATAATTAACGCAAATTCTAAAATGTTTCCGAGATATTTTTCCTTTTAAAGGGTTCTGGAGGCGATCCAGCAGGGGTCAACTTTCAGGCCCGATTGAAGTTTCTTTGATTTAACCCTGCAGCTGTTACGGCACAGTTCAACAAAAATGATCCCTTCAGGAATTTTGTCTGAATACAAAACAAATACCACGAAAAATCATCTGGAATTATTCAACATTACTAAAGGCCCTTTTGCAGACCAGTGGGTCTAATTTCTAGGTTAATGTGATGAATTCAGAATCAAACAGAACTCTTCACAGGTGGACTCTAATGGCACTGTTGTTGTTATGGTCTGTACTGTATACACATCCCCCTTTCGAAAGCCAGCACGGTGTTTTGACAAGGACACTCTGGGTCCCCTTTCAGCCGTCACCCTGGGCCCTGGGCAGGGGAAGTTCGCCTACTTGTTTGACTAACCTACAGGCATACCCCCACACGGCCACCATTGACAATGGAGCCCATCTATTCAACCACCGCTGCACAGGGCAAATTCAGTCACACACCACGAAGCACAGTGAACCGTGGGAGCGAACAGTGAACTTTCGTCAGCTCCTAACCGGTCCACGTGGGTTTCGTCTCTCTGTGTTTTCCCTTGTTCACACATCCAGCACACCCCCCCCCCATTTTCCCATCGGAGCCACAATTCAATGTTTTGCTTCCCTCAATAGGAAATTTAACAACTTCCTTTGAAATGAAAGTGGTTGGTCGGCATAGAAATTACAGTCGAAACCCAACTTGAATAGCTGTTGTCATGTCAACTAAATGAAAGAGGTTTCACAAATAATTACACGTAAAAAGAGGCAACGGCCAGATACGTTTTTGTAGTATTTTTGTAGTCTTTTTGTAGTCTTGAGTTCAAACGCTCTGTTTGACGACTATATTGGCACTTTACGCAGAGAACCAATATACCCCATACTGAACACAAATGCCTCTTAATACCGCTTGTCTCAGAAACTGTAAACACGTATACCTTTTTCACAGTTATTTACACGACGAAATCAAATCTGCGAATCTTTCATTGACTTTGATGAACGCATAAACATAACCTGAACTTGGATGGAATCACTCTTATTGACAATACTTATTAACGGGTAAACGAGGAGACTTGCATTGAACTGCGTCTGTCTCTGGCGATTTTGTATTTTAGCAGACTTACACGAAAAGAAACACACGTTTTGATGAACGCCCGGATGCGAGTCAAAAGCTGAATAGTGATTGTGATACTAATGATCATTATCAACCTTAGCAACGGTATTCCAGCTACTGTGAATGGGCAAATAACATGTATCCATTGACTTACCTTTAAAGCTTGTTCTCTACACACCTCAATGGAAAGTAATGTCAGCTAGACGGCGATGTCGTTCGCTGTTATATCCGGGAACCTAGAACCATGGAGCTTGGAACACATGGTAGGACCATGGTAGGACTTAGCAGCAGACGACGTCAGTACGGATTCATCGTCTGCGCCAATTAGCGCATCGATAGCTGTGGGGGAATATCGTAGACAGATGCGAGGTCAAAATTAGGTGGGGAAAAAACAGCCAGAACCACAGTAATTACAATCACAGGTTGGTCTTGCGAACTGAGCCTTTCGGTCTGAGAGTCTGGAAAGGTCCATTGTTTTAACTTCTAAAAGAAAATGTAAACTCGTTCTTGTGGAAAAGAAATAATGTTTACTTGGATGTTGGTTAGTGTTACCAATCATTATAATCCAAATGTTTTGCGTGCAATTATATATCCTCGTGTCTTACGAATACGATGTTCATCATCACATCCACTAGTCCTACTTTAGCATCGTTTATATCGGATTTTTTGAAAACTTCGCCACATTTAATTCTTCACTGCGTTTTAAAAGTTCGCAAAATTTCGTGCAGGTCTCATACTGTATAATTTAGCGATGTGCAGGTCCCCACATGCTTCCGTGCATGTATACCACGTAAAGGGGAGAGCGATGCAGATGAGTCCTCAGCCAAACACCAGACTGCATGGCCACATGCAGGAAATGTCGACCAAAGACAGAGTCACTGGGGTACGGGCCCCTTATATTCCCAGTGGTTTCCTTTGCGGGGCCGGGGAGCTCGAGTTTGGGAGGGGCCAGACAAAAGTTGACTAACGGGAGCCGATTTTGAATCTGACAGGTCGCCAAGGTTGAGTGAATACATGCATACACCTTTGTTCTCAGTTCTTGTCATTTTGGTTTAGCCAGGTGGCAGAGTTATTCCATTCAAGCGTGGTTTCTATCTCCATTCCATGACCTAAGCCGGCGTGTATGGTTCAAGTTTTGAAAGTATTATAGATATCATTAGAGATGGTCCGCGTCCTGGAAAGCTATGCGGCTCTGGAAAAACTAAGCGATTGGATCACAGCTTCGTGTGGTTAATTTATCCTACACAGTGTAAAGCAATGTACATATTACATCCATATGCCCGCGAATACACACATAGCCTTTTGAAAAAATTGCACAAATAAATAAATCGGCCATATAACCAGTCAACCGGTTCTACCAACCTGCATATTATCCGTCGTGTATCGCGCTTGCGGCACTGCGTCCTGCGACGCTAATTATACATGTGCAGTGTAATACGAGAGGCATTTTACACCAGGAGAAATTCCAACTTACAAACCTGAGTGTTTGGTCTTTTTATCAGCACAGAAGTGTTTATTCAGCCTTAATCAACCAATGAAATATTTTTAGGCCCACAATACTAAGTCTGTGTTTTTGAGGGATTTTAGAACAAATAAGTCATGTACAAGTAACTATATCAACTTCAAGTATCTGTCCCTGGGAAACTCAAGGGGTGCGTTCGCGCGGTTACTCTTGTTAACACGAGTAGGTTGCGTGCGCATTACACTTGGGTGAAGGAGTATACTCCCCCTCTAGTGAAAGTATACTCTCGCTGACCCGCGGGTCGTACTCCATCCGTTACTGTGTATACTTGTGTTAGTACGAATAGCTCGCTCGAACCATTCTACCTCCATGCTCGAACGCACCCAAAGTGTCAAAATATGCAAACAGTTCAAGAATAACTAGCTAGGTCTCCTTGTTATTGTAAGCAGATTTAATGTCTAATGTTCACGTACCGACAGATTCTTTAAAAACACCATTTTCTGAGAAATAGCAGCAGGCCACGCGGGACAATGACGCATGATGATCTTCAAACCAGGTGTACCAATGCACCTTGGTTTTTTACGCACGATGTACTGCTCATGTACATGTATTACCAGTTGGGTTTTAAGTTTGCCCTTCGCTGGCATAATTGAGGTCGTTGGTGCGCAATGCGGTACGGCGCTGTGTAAGGGTACCAGTCGTACAAGCACTTGATGATCTGCTTTCACATTATAACAGTTCTGAGCAAGACATTTTCTGTGAAAATAACAAACCAAAAAATTAACAACTGTCCTGAAGCCTAAAATTCCGGTATTTCAAAACCCTCGAGGAGCCAGAGTAGATCATCCATCATAAATCGCTGAGATCCCTAACTTTGTTTTATTACATTGAACTGCATTTTTTCCCAATTGGATTGTCGTGATAACTTGAGTTCTACGAACGTTGCATCTCAAGGCCAGCTAGCCGTGTATACGTACTGAAAACACTTGCAGGTATCGATTTTGGTCGATCTTTGTTTAAAAACTCTCGTTACAAAAACCCACCCATGCGCGCCTACATCAAACAGAATACCGCGCCGGAAAGCGTCAAAAGACCCCGTGTCGAGACGAGAATGCCGCGCTGGTGAGCTTTCAATATTGACCGTCCGCAGAACAAATAAACCATGATTCGAGCCTCTATTGAGGAGGATGCGAGAGCACTTCAGTGGACAATAGGATGTCCAGGCCGTGAAAGTGCTAGAAGTCAATGTTTACTAGTATGGCCACAACACGCTTGTTACGATCATGCCCATCGTTGTTTGGAACCGAAGTTTAACGCAGAAACATGATTGGATAGCACGTTCTTTTCCAGTCGTCCCTTTCCGTACCTCACATATACTGAGCGAGAGAGCTTCACACATGACTTCAGCTGGCAAATAATTCTACAAGTCCGTCGCGAAGTAGCCCCGGGCTTTTTCATCTAGCATTTTTTTTTCTTTTGGTAGAAATCAAACATGACGGTTACAATGAACAATGCTATTTGTGTCTCGTGCCGCATTCAACCTAATATATCTGAATGAATTCAATTTTTTAATAATTCAGTGTAGACTGTCCGAGTCCTTTTCACGTCAGTGGGAAAGAAATATGTACGCACTGACATTTTCCTGGGGATAAACAAGGTAAAATGTCAGGTCCGGTGAATAAAACCTGACTCCCGATAAGATGCATAATTGATTGCAACGGTGACAGCCCGTGCGTTTTCCACGCTGCCGTTTGGAACACAGTGAAACATTATTTCCTGTCTTATGTTGCTCATAATGAGCCTGTATATTGCAAGGTTATTGTCCTGCCTAATTATGTCTCTGCTCCGTACATGTAGGCCTACACAGAACACAGTCCAACATTTAAACTAACCTGCCAGTTGGCTTTGTATATGTGTCTTTAATGTTTGCCCTTCAAATTTCCCTCCCTCAAAATGAGCATGATACGAGAGTGGTCACTACCAAGAAAGGCGCTGATACTGGCGAAAGATTTGTATGCTGCTGACCCACCATTTGGAAGACACTCTATCCTTGGGAAGGAGTGTAGCATTTTTTTCCACGTTTACTCTCCTGGGGATAGCCAGAGCATCCAGAACCTTACCTCTTTTTGAAGAGATAGATCCCATGGTGTACCCCAAATCCTTTTCATATGAACTCACGGGCTTAAATCCCAGGGGATGGGGGTATAAAATTACCCCCCCCACTTTTTGAGGTGAGGGATGGGCTACTGAAAACTATTTTTTAAACGAATGAATATGCCATTTTGAATGCATAATACATATGTACATCAATATCATGAACATCGATCACATGAACTCTATGGTGTCAACGCCCCCCCCTCCGGTTTCCAATGTTTCACGGCAGGGCAAGTCGCACCCCCCTCCACCTTTCAACATACCCCATCCTTTCAATTTCCGGCAGTGATTTACGCCACTCTATGTACTACTTCCACCAATCAAAGTTTCAAATAGTACTCATGTACTTCATTGTGTGGAAGGCACATTAAAAAGCACTTATTACGGGCATCAACTCAAGTAACAACCAACGTAAACAACCGCAGGTTAGGAATTCACTACTGCACTGACTGGTGACAGTCGCTTTCAGTTATTCGCGTACGTTTAAGTTTATAACCTTTATACTTTGCTACCGCCAACGAACAACACCAGTGATCAGCACGAGCTGCACAGAATAATGGTGTTCAGGATTACGGTTTATTCGGCACAAAGGCCCCTTTTTACCCTAATGCGTCTAAGCTTCTTCAGAGATTTATCGTTCCGTGTACCTCTCCCTTGAAAAACGTACAACGAATTGGTAAATATGCACCGAGGATCATGTCCTTTCAAAAGGTGTGACAAAAACGCGACGCTTCCTGGATTCTCAGACAAACATTTATTTCAAAACGTATACCCTCTGAAATTGTCCATAATGGTGTACAACCACCTAAGACACTTGAAAGTGAAGTAGCAACATTTTACAGAGTGATGGAACAATCTGTTATGATCATTCATTTCAACAAGAGCGGTAGCATCCATTGCAGTAGGGTCTACTATGGGGCAATCTCTGGAACGTCCTTAATGGGGTTTCAGAGCAGCAGGCCCCCACACCACCAAGAAGATTGAAGAACACCCAACTAACTGTCTTTAAGGTGATCTCCAAAATAAATGGAATTTGGCAGAACCAATGCACAATCGTCGCATAATATCGAATGATTCCGTTGGATCAAAAACAGCATTGCTATTAGCCCCTTCATAACACTGTGATCCCCCCCCAAAAAAAAATCATGATCGGGACAGCACGGTTTCCACTTGACGTCTATCCAAACTTACCCGTGTCGGGGAAACCAGTCAGCAGCGTATCTCACTTGCGCTCCGCCGTCCCTAGCGAGGTAAGCTACCGTCGAATGCTCACTGGTAAATGGCGACGGTATGACTGACACTCCCCCCGTGCGTCACTGATATTTACTCGAAGGTTTGATTATCTCACGACGATCACGATGGAGTATCTCTTTGTGAGGGGGCTCTCCAGTTAGTTTACTCTCCCGGCTACCAACTTGGTTGGCGGTGTCTGTAAGAATCTCTAAATCATACACTCGTTATTCATGGAAGGAGCTTATGAGTTCAATCAGCAGCTTGACTGGCAGTTGGAATCGAATAGCGTGTGCTTGTGTTTCTTTGTTGCTCAGTGCCGCGAATCACAATTTGCCCCAATATCGAAGTAGGAGTCGATTAACCGTTTTCTTTTCCCCTTTTTATAAACTCCGAGAGCATTAGAACCAACGGGAAAAATCGATGATGGATATTGCAGGAGGAAAACCATTGTAAATTTAAAAAACTCCAGTGTCGGCAAGACGTTACTTGAAGAGCAATCCTTTTGTTAACTCAAAGTCTTCGGCCAGTTGAGCGTGTAATGTTGGTCCAAAGGAAATTAATCGATTGTAGAAGGTAAACAAAGGCGGTCGTTATCGATTATGGGCAACAGTGCCCTCGCTGTAATTGTGAGAGGGTGTTGCTTAATTGGTCTTGGCGTTCGACAAGATCGATTTCGGCATTCTGGACGGGGTCCATTAATACATTATATGAGCGAATAGAAAAAGCGTCTAAATTGGATTAGCTTTGGCAGCACTTCACTGCATTATCTTTTCATCTCTAGTGACTTCCAGAAGAACATTATGTGACCCTACCGCGCATGCCCAACGTAACAGAGGAGGAATGTTGTTGTATAACGAGGGCGCTTTTATGCTCACGTACTTTCAGGGCGACCAGAATTTAGCATGATTAATGTGTATACGAACCAAGTGACACTTCACTTGACAGTCCCTACGTCACGAAACGTTTGGCTCTGTACAAGAGTTTTAAAAATGCTTGCCGCCATGCATCCGTTCGGACCACTGCAACTGGCCAGTGTTAGCGTTGCCATGGTCACTGGATTCATCTATAAGAGGCAACTAGGCCTTAAGTGGCGTTATAATGCATAAGATTACAGGAAGGTACATAGGTCAAAAGCGCGATACACGGAGCAAATCACGATTTCAATGCCCTCAAAATTTCCGCTATTTTGAACATTTCTTGACTCACGAACAGCAACCTCTAAACAAGAAGGGTGAAAGGATTGAGCCGGACTGCGAGCTTGTTCGTCTGGAGAGATTCGATCCACTAAATCGTTCTACTTTGCAGTGGAATGTGGGAATCATAATTTCAAAACACTAATGGGCTTCGGCACAAACTGATATGGGGTGGTCATCGCTGTAGGCAAATTTTGATCAAAAGAATTAGTGAAAAGAAAAGTTGATGACATAAGCATTATTTTGATGTGCGTCTAAAAACACCTTGTAGAGTTGTGGTTAATTTCGTCACATTTTAACGATTGTTAAAATCATTGTAGTCTACTGCAGTTTGCTGAATACAGCCACCCCCTACAGCCATTTCCAGAGATTGAGCCATCTGGTCTTAGTTTTGTTTCAAAGCCAGCGCATTAGGGGCGGCGGATTTAGCGCCGACCTTTTTTTTACGGTAAAGCTTGATTTTCAATTGAAATGTACGGGCAGATCGAGCAGATGAGCTGAAAGCAGGGCTGCAGGTGTCAAGAATCCGAACCCAGCAAATTTCATTTCCTCAAAACTTAACGAAGGAATTATTGTGATCCCTCCAGCAGAATCAAAAGGCAACCAACCGCACGGCAAATGCACAATACCCGACAGGCCCGCGTTGACTGTTACAGCCCGTAGCTATACTTAGACCCATAATACCCTCCAAGGAAATCTTTGCAACTTCACGCAGGACATTCATTACGTGCTGAAAAATACACTCTACTGGGCCACGGGATCTGCAATAATATGGTTTCGGCGATAAATGGTGGTTTAACAAATTTTTACATCTGCTGAGCGAAAAAGAGGAAAAAATGAGTCAATGCGCTAGATTTATATCCCTGGCATAGCAATCAAGACCTGTTCAAGGGTTGATATTTTGCCCCTAGTTGCATGGTTAAGAGATCCCACCTACCCTCATGGACAAACTCTCCCCAAAAGTTGTTCACATTTTGTCCCCAGTCGCACGATGACCGATTCCAATTGAGGTAAACATTAGTGTTTGAATAAACAACCGTTAATGACAAAACAAGCCGAAACCGTCGAATCAAAAAGAGGGACTTTTCATTTTGTCGTTTACGTTTTTGAGCTCAACAGATACTCCTTTTCTGTCTTTACGTTATTATTTAGATATTTTATCAGACTTGTATCCAGTTTTATCAAACAATGTGTTTACTTTTATCCAGATTTTTACGGGCTCCGTCCCCCATAGACATCTGGAGGTTATGACGGCAGGAATAAACAGTTTAAGAAATAATAATCATTTTATCATTTTGAAACATTTCTGGTTTTATTTCGAAGCATTGTGAGCCTGGGAAGTTTATAATTAATACTGTAAAAACAAGTGTCAATGTTATAACGCCTTTTAAACTTATTTCTGGTAACACTTTATGAATGTGCTGTGGTGTTAATAATCCAAAGCTGAATACAAATATGTGTTGATGTGTTCCTCAATTTAGACACATTGACACATTTGGGTGTTAATAACAAGACACAGAAACAAGTTTATCGGGTGGTAACACTTTCTCAACACCGAAACACTTTTATGTCAAAAAAGGCGTTTAATGTCAAACGGTTACATGTTTACAATGACAGTTACTTCTTACAGTGAGGCTAAACGCCGCGTCAAATTCAAATACTTTCATTCTGTTTTTGAGTTCAGCATGGCAATGACACGGCGTTTAGTGGCAATTCGGCAAGTCGTTCAGCTCGACAGGGTATGCCGCACTATTGGCATTCTGATCCGGTAGTGGCAGGACACTGTTCGGCGCCTAACACAACTGCTGTGCTGTTGGTGCCTTGCAATTGTCACATTCATTTTAATCAAGTTCGGCACGGCAGTAGCTGAGTACGGCGTATGACCTTTGGGCCTTATTTGATCGTAGATTGATATTTTATAGGAATTTTCAAAAAAGGCGAGCTCCACGAACGTGGAGTCAAAGTGGCACTTAACTCACCCAGATCCTGATGGAATGCAAACACACCACAATCCAATCCGCCGCCATGAACCATAAACCGACGGATGAAAAACACTCGGTAGACGTGTGAAGTTCGTGATCATTTCTCAGAAAAAGAACTTCGGCTTTGCGGGTATGCACTCAGTGTAAAGGTGACTGTCGATGTCCCGTTTTACTTGCTAGGTCCTCGTTTGTTTCGTATATACCCCCAAGAACCCACAAGGATAAATGTGTTAACTGGATGAATGGAGGCTTCCATTTTGTCATTTGTAAATCCATTAAAGGTGCTATTTTGACTATTGGCGGATAATATAGATGCGAGGATATGGACCGTGACGAATGACACGCGCAAGACCGTTCTGATCCGCCGCCGATGCCAAGGGAGTGCTATTCTCCGCAGTCGCACAAAAGGGACTGTCAATTTATTTCAACAATATAATTTTCGGTTCATGGAGCCCAGTTTGGGCATTCACGCATGACGAGCAGAAATAACTGTGCTTTCCTGTTGTCGACTCAACAAGTTCAATTAATCTGCAAGGATGGATGATTTTTCTGATGTTGTATACATGTATAACTATAATTCACAGCCTTTAACAGCCTCTATATAATTATAAGTAAGTTAAAATAGAGGCGCGCCATGGGGGCAGTATGGATTGAGACGATAAAAAAAGATTTGTCATACATACTTCCAAAACCGCTGACAAACCTATATACTGCGCACAGGTAGCAGGATAAAAATTCCAAAACTTGAAGAGTTAAACGTTAAGTATAAATTGACTGGCAACTCCAAGTTCAGACTGAAAGGTACTGCATTTTTCAGCATTGTTCGCAATAAATACGATCCATGGGGGAGGGGGGGACTAGTTTGCCCGCAGGCATCACGCCTCCCACAGAGGGTAGGCACTATAGCACTGATCTGATACGATTCGACCATCAGCCCCGACCTGGTGACAAACTAACTGGTCAGTAAAAGTACATAAACCAATTATATTTGGGTTATGCCCATTGAAAGGTAAAACTAAAGAACACACAGTTGATGTTATTTTATCGTGCATTTGGCGATATTTTATATTATATTTTATTATATATTTTGTTCAATACTGCACCGTAATAGCGCCGATTAATGACACAACATCTTCACCCACGTTACAAATCCGCCGACTACTAGTTGTATCTGTATCCAAAACATCAGGCTTTAAGGACAGTATTTTACATAAGCGAGAAAATACAAGATACAAGCACACAGACTGTGGAATTTTCCTCAATTATTTATTGGGGACAAGCTTTTGTACCAGGCTACTTCAAATGCCCAGTCTCTACTGCAAAAAAGGGAAACGCTACCATAAAAGTCAGTGTGGGTAAGTAGACGTGCTGAAAGTGTAAAACCAAGAAGATCTTAAAAAGATGCAGCCAATAAATATGTAGAATTAACCTAACCTACTAACAGCAAAATGCATTGACAAGTTGATGAGAAATTTAAAATGTTGACATTAATTGGGAATTGATTGGTTTTGACTTAATTTTTGACGGAAGCTGGACAAACTGTTGATACATGTAAACATTTCCTTCATTTTACAAAAGAAGGGACTCGTCAACATTTGCCTACGCAAGAAGCGTTGGTTGGTTGATTGGTCTTTCTTTGTGTTGCGAAACACTTACCTTGATAAGCAAGAGTGGCACGGTCCACTGAGAGAACAGTCTGGCAAAGTGATTTTTTAAAAATCACCACCAAGAACTAGCTACAGAATATGCCACACAAGTTGCAGCTGGGATGATCAGTAGCGACTCCAACTACATGTATTGGTATCAATGGAACCATCCAACAGATTTACACAATTGCCCTAGTCCACTGAAGAGTCCCCTGATGGCTACTGAGTAACGGGGTCCTGGCTACTGTGTAACAGCTTCCAATGGGCATTCACAAGTGGCAGACGGCGCGCACAGTAGCAACCGAGTTGTAAAGGAATGTTCGCGCCCGAGTGGCACTCACCCAGGCAAGAAATCCGCCCATTCAAAAGGCCGCCAACAAAAACGAGTGGTATCATGTTCTTGCTTGGCCCGCGGGCACTACACCCTTGGAAAACAAAAATATTGTCTGTTTGAATTGGGTTGGACGCTTATCTTTGTGCAGTTGATTAACTGATTGTTGCGACACCGTGAGGTCGCCTATGAAATCACACGCTGGGGGGAGCTATGAAGTTACAATGCAGGTCCAAATCGTGACACTTGTTCGACTTATTTCAAGTGTCATTCCCCAGGCGAAAAGTTGCCGCGCATAAAGGAGGGGTCAACAGCCATATTCCTGCGTCAGGGGATTGTCTAACTAAGCCTTTTGTTAGTTACATTTGAATAAAATCTGGTTTACTGAGTTCTTTAAATTCGCATGAACACAATATTTGTTTCGCCACACTAAAGACGCTGTTGCTATGGTCGTTTTCCAATACTCGACTTGGGCTCCGTCTCAGGCTTCAACTGTTTTTTTTTTCTTACCTCCTGACTTTGAGGATATAAGCGCAATAGTAAGTCTCATAGTGCCACAAAACATCAAGTAAGATCCAAAAGAGCCAAACATTACAGTACTTCAATTTAAGTTAAACGCTTCAGGCCTACAATCGGGGATTGGTTTCCTACACGAAGCCTGAGATGGAGACGAAG